AGCTGCAATACGATAAAAAAACTAACGTACCATAATAATCGATTTTACTTAATGGCGATAATAAAAATTTATATTTGGGGTACGTACACTTTGTAGGCGTACATGTTGCTGCTTACATACATATGCCTCTTTTAACCATTTACAGGGTATACATTAACAATTTGCCTTACAGGCAATGGTCATCTCTCTCGCAGTCAATAAGCTCTCCTATTAACAGAAGTGTGACTAAAGTGAACCGATATTCGACTTATTTATAAGGGTAATCGATAAATTATCGTTATCGTGGCGATATCTAAAAAGTTTCACGCCCATTTTCATATATATTTGCAGAGTATGCAGGTCTTAATGAATCGACCTTACATTTTTTGTACTAATCTATACATCTAAATCGATGCTTTAAGCACAGCTATTAGAGTATTAAGCGCGAGATTTAGCCAAGGTGATTCCGTCTAAGGTACACACAGACACACGCACGTGAACTTAACTAGCTTCATACATATGTAGCTCCGTCTACCCTACCTACAACTCACAATGTTTGCTCGCCTTCGTGTCCGAGCTCGTCTTTGCACACCCTGATCCACCCTGCCCCACCCACAGGACTCGCCGGGTAGCCACTTTAATAAATGAAAAACCATCCAATTTTTGTTTACTTGCAAGTGTTTGTTCACGTTTGTTTATTGTTGTAGCTGTTGTTGTTGCTGCTGTTTTGTTGTGTTGCAGTTGTTGTTGTTGGCTATTTGGTGGCGCTTTTGTCACTCGGCATTTCACTTTCACTGAAATTCCCTGCGGGCCGGGACTCTCATTTTGTTTTGTACAGCGCAAAGCAAATAGAATTTCACGTAATTATTATGGATAGTCGCTTTATCTGTGTCATCAGCTCGTAATTTAACCTTTCTATCTGTATTTGCTTTCTCTCTCTCTCTCTCGCTCAGTTGCTTTCTTCCTGGCGATACTCTAATTGGCTGTTGGCCCCGTCACATGCAAATCCCTCGTTTCTCACTGATTTCGATTACCCAGCGCCGACTACTTTTCATTTTTATTTATTTTCTCTCTTTTTTTTAAGGCTAATTGCATTACAGCACGCGCTTTAAAGTCAATGAACGGTTAGCTCGACATTTTTCAACAAAAAAGGCGGCGTGGCGCCAGGCTCAAGCACGCAAATGTCAACAACAACAGCAAGAACAACAACATTAACAAGCTGTACAACAAATTGCAAAAGAACAATAAACAATAAAATGTCATATATGGCATGCGGCAGCAGCGCACTCCTGAGCATTTTTATCTTGTGCATAAAAATAAAAGATTTGCCTTTCAGAATGCATTAAAATAGCCACGAAAGGTGAAATACACGACGCGAAAAGTGGGGATTGTATTAAAGTATGTTTGCAAATTATGATGCCAGAACAGAAAAGATTGGCATTTAAAATTAAATAAATTAAAAATGTATATTATCAACATTTTTTGTTGAAAATATATCTTATATATCGTGGAGACAAAAGAAGGCCCAAAGATACAAATATTGCATTAAATATAGTATATGTAACATATTAATATACATATATTAAAAAAAAATTATATTTTTACTAAACCAAAACTCTTAAAAGTTGTCTAAGCAATAAATTTAATATAAAAATGCAATTGCAAAAATATATATACACCTATATAAGTATGTATACATAAATGTTATACATTAAGATATATATATAATATAATATTAGTAGAAATTTTAATATTAACAGAATTAAGCCATAATAACAAAAGAATAACTCTCTCATATTCTACCTATGCATAAAAACAAAAAAATGTAGTCAATATAAAAAATACTTCAATATGTACTCGTATGTAAGTAGAATTTCCAGCTAAAATAGCCATTTTCTCACAGTGTAATTAAGTTGGGTGCACAGCTGTCAGAATGGCGCCTACGCCCAAGCACCAAAATATATTTGCATGTGTGAAAAAGAAAGAGCAGGAACATGGGCAACAAGGGCAAACCGAGGGCAAACTCGCTGCGGGCAGTCGTTAAGTCAAAGGGCTACGTTACTTGGGCAACACACACAAATCAAAGTAAAACACGAAAAACAATATGTCAAATGTTATTATACATTAAATTAGTTAAGAGTAATAAAATGCACAAACAAACATGTGTAGGTATAATAAAGTTAAATGTCGTCTCTCTCTGTGTGTGTGTGTGTGCGTGTCACTGGGTTTGTTAGCTGGCCATCTCTGTCTAACTTTACCCAGCTCACTCTCTCCCTCTCTCTCTCTTTCACTGTCTCTCTTTCTTAGTTCATAGCTTGAGACGTTGTTACAACATTTACCCAGCAGCAATTTGTCACGTGAATTTCAGTTGCTTCTTATTGTTGTTGTTGCTGTTCTTTAGTTGCCCCATTGTTGTTGTTGTTTTTGTGACATTTCTGTTTGTTACGTTGAGCCGAGGCAAAGCCAACAAATTACAAATGTTTCGAGTCACAAAATTCTGTTGCATGCTTTGAGGCGTTTCTGCCTTCTTTTTTTGTGGATTTACCTTGTTTTGTGATTCTCGACGTGTTTACGTGTTGAAGACACAACATGACAGACTACATAACGATTCGCAGACACAATGAATGAATAAACCGAATGCTGTGAGTACATTCAAAGGACTAGCCAAGAGTAGGCGTACATTCAACAATTGGTTGGTCGAGAGCTTTGATATTTAGTTTGCCATTTGAATGTCTGCACTTTTTTTTTAAATTAATTTTTTAGAAGTAATTATAATAATAATTAATTATAATAATAATTCAAAATTATTAATATATAAAAAATTTAATTATTAATCAAAATTTTTAGGCATGAATTAATTAATTAAATTAATTAATTTTTAAAAATGTATATATATTTTTTATAAGTGTGAATAGCTTGCTTCAAGCATAATTTAAATATTTTGCTAAGCTTGAGTATATTAAAATAAAGACGTTATTTAGCAAATTAACTTTTCAATTTATTTTATTTTAAACTCATTTTTTCAATACTTTGCAAAGCAGTCTTTATATTTATCCCACAGACTAGATTTCTTGTCTTTAAATGTCATTCTGTACGTAATTAATGGCCATCACTCAATTACAGCAAACCCATTTAAATAAAAAAAGTTTTTATCAGCTATGCTGCAATTAACTGCCAGATAATTTATTGTTTTCAAACATTTACTCACAGCCAGCGGCAAATAAATTGAATTAAATGTGAATGTCTATTTATATTTAAAGAAAAGAGAAGTTGGCAGCACTGTCTGTACGAAAGGTGGCAACACTGCACTAATATCTGCATGTCAAATATCTGACAGGAGCAAGAGTTGGCTGTAAATTGATTTGCTGCTAACAGCAAGAAAAAAAAAATAAAATTAACATTGATAGCTCGTTAAAATTGATGTTAATTGTGAAGCATTTTTCTTGATTAAATCGATTACTGAAAATCGATAGCTGTAAATTAACTATCTAATAAATACTCAGAGCTAATGAACAAGCTATTTGAACTGTTGTCTCTGTTTGTATATGCTTCAGCTCCTGTCTTCAGCACACCTGAGGGAATAAGAGTGCACTTTACACACCTGTTCAGTCATGTGAATAACATTCTGACTACCCCCTGTCGTTCTATATATATATATATTCTTTTTAATGCATTTTTACTGTATGAAGAACAACAGGCCGCGCTCAACGGTTGCTTGTTGATTTGAGTTAATGAATTAAGTTTGTTTTAAAAATAATTTTTCCCTTTTTTTTTCTTCTTTTTTGTGAAGTGCATGCAAACATGCAATGTCTGGGATAAGTATGAAACAATAAAAATAGGGTATATAATACATATATATATATAAATAGAAGGGAGAGAAAAAAATGGTTGTTTATGGTTATAAAAGGGTACTAATTAGCAAGGGGCAAGGGGTGGGTGGGGGTATATTGCGTGATATGCAACAAATATGACAGCTTTAAGATGGAACATAACGTGCACTAGTAGTTGGGCAATTTGTGTTTAGTCTGTGGGCGTGGCGGCAGACACTCACCTATCCCTCAGGCAAATTTTGTACTCATGCTGCGAGTCGTGGTCACTGTTGCAGCTATCATTATAATTAACGGCAGACTGGCGCTCTCTTTCCTGTTGCTGTTGCAAGTTGATCAGCTGCTTGTGGAACAGTTCCTGCTGTGATTGCAGCAGTTCCTGATGATGATCCTGCAGCGCGGCCAAATGCGATAGCTGTTGCTGATATGGCGATTGCTGTTGCTGTTGATGTTGCTGCTGCTGCTGTTGCTGTTGATGCTGCGGTGGACTGTGCTGCTGCTGCAACGCAGGTGACACTGGCCGCAACGGACGCTGATATGGATGATGATAATGCTGCTGCTGCTGCTGATGCCTAGCATGACCATTACCTGACTTGCTCGCCGCTGCCGCTGCCGCCGCCGCTGCAGCCTGTGCGCTATGATTGAGCAGGTGCATATTCTGGCTGCTGCGGCGATGTGTGAGCAGCGTTAGACAACTTTTTGTATCCACTTCAGCCAAGCCAAACTCGAGCTCGGCCTGTGCCTGCTGCTCGTATGCATGCTGCGCCTGTTGCAATCTCTCGCGTTCGCTGCGCGGCGAATTGGCCAACTGTTCGGCAGGTGGTTCGATCTCAACGGCTGAGTAATCATAGTCCAGTTGATGCCGTGTTCCATGATGCTGATGCGCCGGATGATGCGCATTATTTGTTGGCTTATTGCCATTGGCACTGGCCGCCACGGCGCCTGTGCCCGGCGTCGCCTTGGCAATTTTACCTGCCAGCGCGTCCAGAGAACTGAGCATGATTTGATGACGGTCTCTCTTTATCTTTCTCTATATTATCGCTCTGAATCTTTAATCGCCCTCTGCCTCTTTTGCTCTGTTTATTTTTCACTTTTCTAGAGTTTTCCACGCGTTTTCCTAGCCCTGCTTGATTTTATGTAATTTTGCAAAATATTATTTTTCTGAGAGTTCTTGCTGTTGTTGTTGCTCACTTGCGTTGCGCTCTTTAGTATTTCTCACTTTCTCTTCTGTCGTCAGTTTAGCTATATTTGCCCTGTTTATTGTTTACTTGCCTGAGGGAAAAGTTGGGAGGCAAATTGCAAATTGGATTAGTACAAATAAACGCCAAAAAATGAAATTAGTTGGTTAAGATGGTTGTGTGACGGCGACCTTGACAATCATTGCACACACACACATGTATGCAAACCCACACACACACACATATACATATAAATTGTCTTTGTTAAAAGTCTCTTTCAGTCTTTCGGTCGCGCCCCTCGCTCTTGTGCACTGACATTTGCGTTTCTTATTGTCCTGAAAGTCGCCCATGTGCGCTGTGTGCATGTGTGTGTTGGTGTGGGTGTGTGTGTGTTGTGCGCGTGTATGTCCGTGCCTCGGTGTGTGTGTGTTTACGTTGCATTTGTGTTTATTTTGTAGCTTAGGTCAGCTACATTTCACTTAAGCTGGTGCTAGAAACTCTTCTACAAAATGCCAACGCACAAACACAAAACATATAAAGCACACACACACCCTAGCAGTGTGTGTGTGAGTGTCTGCAAGTGTGTGGTTGTAAAATGCAAACACTTGAGCCATAGAAGCTTGACACTGAATGCCCACAGCAGCAGTAGCAGCAGTTGTGGCAGCAGGGTGGCCAAAGGCAACGGGGCAGCTCATGTAGGGCCTGTCTGTGTTGGTGTGCGTGTGTAGTAGTTGGGTGTTGCCCTGCCCCTTGGGGCACTGAGGCGGGCTCAGTTTAATGGTCAACATTTTGGGGCATTTTTGAATGATGCTGTCGTTGGTTTCGGGCAGCAACAAATCAGACCAAAAAAATGAGAAAGCCAGAAAAATTCAACCCAATTGATTGGAAGATATTAACTAGGTTCCCAAAAACTTAAAAATGTAAGCTTTACAACAAACGGATACAAGAAAATATTTAAAGCAACAAAATAATAAATTCTGGGAAAGTATATTATAGTATAAATAAGCTCCGCAAACCTTTTATTAGCATTTCATAAATGGCAACATCCCTTTTTTGTCGATTTTTTATCTTCCACCTTATTTATTCTTAACAATAGGTAATTCTCATGATATAATTTCGAACAGAAAAACTAATTATTATTTACATAAGACCTCAAAAATTGTTCACTTTAAATTTAGCTACCTTCCAGCTTGATTTTTAATTATCTTCCATAGAAAAATTTATGCTACACGCTATCCCTTTATTTTTGCTAATTAAGCGCAGAAGCCTGGCCATTTCAAAGACGAAAAAAAAATCAGTTTTGTTAGTTTTTCACTATTTTCCTGAAGATAACTTCCTGCCTGGCTGGCTGCCTGCTGTGGCAAAGGCAAACAACATCCTGCAAGAAACAGCAAACGTCAGCAAGCAACTACTTTATATATCTGCACGACACGATATAATGCCATGTAATAAGAAAGCAACATTTACAAAAGCCAAATGCATACAATACATGTGCATATCTGCGAATACATGCACAGAATGATATATACTTATATGCACTTGTATATTGCTATATATACATATATATATATAGAGTAAGTGCGCGGCGCGTGTAAATTGCAAAGAGTAAAATCTTGTAAAGGCAAATTCCTTTCAAATGCAACCATTTCCTTGGCACCAACATACACACACACACACACAACTACTTAAAGTTGCAACAGTGTTGAAAGAACACACAAACAAACACACGCACACATACACACAGAGGTTTAGAACGCATTGCAAAATGCAATGCAGCAGTGAATGCTGGGTGGCTAAATTTACACAGCGCATTCAAGTTGACTTTTATATGTCATACAACAAACAGCAAGGCCTTCTCCCACCCACAAACACACACTCTGCGTATGTGTGTGTGTGTGTGTGTGTGTTTGTGCTAGTCGAGTGGCATGCAAAGCATGCAGAAACGTACGACTAGACAACAAACAGTCCGAGACCAGTTGCCCAGCTGCACCAATGCAAGAATGAAAGAACACCCAACCAACACACATATAAGATAAACCATACTCAGACAACTGTGCAGCACAGTGTAAAAGATACTAAACAAACATTCTAGTTTAGATACTTGCAGCAGCGAGCAGCAGGCAGCAAGGGCTAGTGAACTGTCGGGCTATTGAGGCTGCCGTCAGTGGCAGGTTTCTAGGTATCTGTGTGTGCGTGTCTGTGTGAATGAGACTTGACCAAAATGCTTGTAAGATGCTTAGCCATGGAGCCGACGACGCTGTTGCGGTCAACTGCTTGCAACTACTTGAATAGCATCATCTGGCCACAAAATTATCTTACAGCTTCTTTGTAAGCCATTGAAAAGCGGTTGAAGTTAAGCGCTGCCGCCTTGAAGTTAACAAGCGTTGATTGATTGTTAGATATGTTCACATTTAACCACAAAAGAATGCTATGAAAAATCGAGAAGGGTAGAAGGAGTCTTCAATCGAAGTCAAGTATTTGTTCATCAAACTTATTAATTGAGTACTCTTTGCTCTACGAACAAATTATTTTGTAATTTGCCTTTGCGCTTTTGTTCTTTTCAACTATAACATATTTTTATTTAAATCTTAGCTCCCCGTGCGACGAATACGGTTCAAATTTCGACGCTTTCATACTTTTTTGTTTTCTTCTGCTCATTAAAACATTCACAACATTTTCTTTTGTTCTATTTTGATACTTCTGTTTTTCCTACTATACGCCTTGATCAAATTTCCTGTCATAAATTTTCCTTTAATGAGTACATTAAGCGTCTGTATTCAGTAATTTTTTGTCGCTTTTGCTTATGTTCTTCTGAATGCTTTAATTAAATTTTCGCTCGAATAACTATTTTATTTTAGCATTTAAATTCTGTCGTATACAGCTTCTTTCTTTTGCGCCCTAATCTATTGTCAAAACTATGCCAAGTCTACAACTTAATTAGGCAAAGCCGCAATTACATTCAAGAAAAAATCCCCCCATTTGTGACTCAGGCTCAGCCCATAGCCTTTGGCAAAGTCCTTGTCTTCATATAACAGCAGACGCGGCGCAGCTTTTATTTTATTTTCATTATTTTTGCACTCTTGCGTTTTTTTCATTAGTCAGCAGCAAAGCTGTCGCATAATAGAATTTGAAAAGGCTTTAAAAACTAGCTGCGCTATGTTATCAAACTGAAGCGTATGAAACATAATGAAAAAATTGTGCAAAAGCGAGGAAAACGGAGTCGGAAAAAAATAGCAACATCAAAGACAAGCGCCATAACCCAAAAACATAAATCCTATGGAAAATAAATAAAGCAAATGGCAAAAGAAATGAATATGCTGCGAGACTACGCGAGTTGCCAGACTATATAGGAGCTACACTCACACACACACGCATACACACACACACACACTTGCACACTATGCTATGCAAGTGCAAAGAAAATCTATGTGAAAAAAGTTGATAAGCGGCAACGAGGAACCTCTTTCTAACACCCAGAGAATCGAGCAGAGGAATGGCTACTATTGAATGGGCTGGAGTCTCGGTTTAAGTTAGGTACTCTCTCTCTCTCTCTTTCTCTCCCTCTGGCAACAGCGCCATAGGAAGCTGCGGAGCCACAAAAAAATAATGAGATTTTGCCGCATGAAAATGACAGAGCAGTGCATAAAGAACTGAGCGTAAAAACAGACCAAAAAAAATAAAGTCCATTTCGTTGCAGCTTTAATGTTTTGAATGCATGCTGCAAATGCTATCAAATAATATTAAAAAATAAAAAGCAGACAAATTTATTGAACAATCAATTTTTAGTTAAACTACAAACTGAAAATTCAAGCAGATGTATTAAAATTTTATTATCAAATAGCGTGTGCCTATTAAGTTTGAAGAGCATATAGTTAATGCTTGCCGTAAATCCAGGTGAGTTATAAACCTAAAGCTATATATGCAGTGCCGCGACAGATTAGATAACAATAAAGGATGTATTTAAAGTTTTAAGAAGTAGCTCAGTAAAGACATTTAGGAACTACTTAAATTTGCAAGGCGGAATCAAGTGACAATGGAGGACCAAAATGCTGTGACTGGATACGTATTAATGGAGGACAGATGTACGTATGTAAAGTTCCAGAAACTAAACAGGTATCACTAAAGATTGTATTCACTGTTCCAGGAGGAGAGGACATCATCAAGGGACATTGAAGGATCAGGATTGAATGTATGGACCAAAAGAGAATAGAAGCCGTAAATACAGTAAAAAGCCGGCAACTAAGTTGAAATCGGGAGAATGCAAGAGAGAAAGACGACGCGAGGATATGAGAAACAATGGTGGACATTTAAATAACAAGTTGGGTAAATATCAAGTTTAATCAGAACATATCATGAACAGAGTTAAAATTGGGAGCATGCAGTCTCTTTACAGTCAAGAAACAATGAAGAATATTTATACATAAATAATTAACAATAATCCTTAGGCAGGAAAATTGATTTCATTACCAATGAAACTAGGCAAACATATCTTCATAGTTCTCCCCAACCATAATATTTGCTACAAGCCAATATTATTTACGAATTAAACTCTAGACTAGAATTAAATCAAACGAAGCGTTTATTTCAAAATTGTCGCAACTGGTCGCCCGAAAGCACATACATTATCAGCTGACAATTGAATAACTAATGTAAGGCTCTGATGATGCAATATGATGATTAATTCAAGGACGCAATTGGCAAAGACAACCAGCAAAATAAACTTGGCTGAAAATTTATGAAAATAGGCTGTGTGCCAAATATCGAGCCCTAGAAGACAGCCCCCGCAAAATGTTTATGCAGCATTGAAAAGTTTGCAATTATTATTATAAATTTACTTGCTATTGTTCAAAGATTATTGTGGAAAATGTGTAATCGGGAAAAACACGAAAACTCACTTTGCTTGCGCACAAGCGAAGAGTCTGTCATTGATTTGCCTTGAGTCAATGAATAAAATATAATGCGCATACGCCACGTGTGAGGCGCGCTCTGTGTGGGCTGAAATATTTATAAAGCACTAAAAAACTTGAGAGGCTGGCACGCCTCCGCATCCGCAAGGTTTAAACAACAACAGGCCTAAAAATTAAACATAGCCAA